GTTTATTGTTGTCATTGTCCTCAACCTTCGGGTACAGTGCGGTAGTTGATAGAAACAGAGACGGTCGGAGGAAGATAAAGAGAAGAGAGAGAGGTTGGAGGAGGAAGGGGGTGTCGGGTCGAGAGGAAGGGGACGAGGGTAAAATTGGGTTTTAAAAATTTTAAGCATCAGGTGGTGTCATGTGTATATGGGTTTTGACGAAATATTAACAGATGTTAAGAGTAAGAATAGAACTAGACAATTGTCAAAAACAAAAAACAATAGGGATAATGCCAACCAATTTTCAAACAACAAGGATAGATCTAGTTAATTAACTAAACCATAAGAATAGTTTAAAGCGTGTTTCAAAACGAAATATATCGTGGCTGAGCCACTTTACAAACGCCACCTAAATCATCCAGCTAGTAAAAGTGTAAAACCGTTAAAAACTGGGACCCAGAATGCTTACTGGGTTATCGGTTCATTGGTTCGACCACTCAGTCCAGTCTGAATCTGACAACACTGATACTAATCTCGGTGCATGGTTCCCCCTATCTCCCCTTTCTATTTCTCTTCCTACCTACCCAAGGAGACAATTAATAAAGCCTCACCCAACATCTCCAAACAAAACCAATGCAATGCGATGCCGCATCATGTGCATTGTGACCGTACAGCGCCGATTCGGTCCCAATGAAAGGCCCAGATCAAATGTACATGTATCAAATCCTAATTGCGAGACAAATAACACCTTGTCTAATTCATTTGTAAGGGTTCATTTGATTTACAGTTGGAATTGAAATCTGAATCGTTCAAAATTGGAATTGGAATGGTCTATTGCTGGTTCAGACCGAAATGAAATGAAAATCAGAATTACTTGGAATGGATTTGCATTCTCAAGAAAAAAAGAAGAAAGGATCATTCCCTCAAATAGAAAAATATCATTCTACTGTGATGGGAATGGAATTTCAATTCTGTCAAATCAAATAGTTCATTCTGACTCCGATTCCAAACCACTGTTCCCACAAACTAATGGGACCCTAAATCGTCTCTCCAAACAGTCCTATGGATCAAAGAAATTGAACCGAGTCACCAGAAGAAGACATGAGAGAGCTGGGGGGCCAGCTGGCCAACCAATCCCGATCCACAAATCCCAACCATTCTTATTCCACTGCAACAGTGATCACGGCGGGATCACATGAAGCTGATATCAACAAATCATTTTCTGTTTAAAGAGCATCACGACAATGATAACGTGATACGCCAAAGCCTTCCAAAATGTGCTTTCCCTCTCGTGTGTGTATGTGTTGTCCTCTCATCATGCTCTCTCTGCTTTCCCGTAGAGGTGGAGCAGCAGCTTCAATCGCCGTCCCCAAACACCACTCTCTAAAAGCCCAAAGCCAAACACTACATCAATTAAAAAAGATAAAGGAGTGGCTGAGAACTCGTTTGAATGCTAGGTGTCAAGTGCGGAGTGGTTGAGTCTACCCGCACCATCGCCATTCATTCACGAGTGCTGTCGGATCACTGTGGCCCCACGAATAGAAATATCGGGGGGTCACACCAACACTGACGCACGCAATGACGGTACTGCCCTTACAATCATTGCTTTAAAATTTAAATTCTAGTAATTCCCCTCTACATCGCTTTACATGTCTAGCTGTTCTTGTGTTGTCCACCTGGCAGACATGTTCAACCTTTTCGATCCATCAAAACCGTCCAAGTGTGATAGACTTCCCTAATTGGAAAACTTGGGTCTCGCGTAGGGGCTGTTTGGTTTGATTGAAGTTTATCTAATAAATGTTTTGTATGATATTTATTTTAATAAATATTTTATATGATATTTCTTTTAAAAATAAAAAAGGTATGCTTAAAAATGTTTTTTTTTTGTTTTTTTGACGGTTAGGCACTATTAAATGTTAGATAAGTTGAATAGTGAAAAATAATTTACTATTGTAAAAATATTAAAAATAAATTTCCTTCGAAAAACATTTATTTGATAAATAATTTAATTATAGGAGAAAATCGGCGCCAACTGCAACGAAACTAAATACCCGAGTACCTGACTGTAGAAGGATACAACCGTAAATCGATGGAAAAAGGACATTTATGGAACGAAAATGAAGAGCCTCTCTCTCCTATTATCTTCCACTCACATCTGACCCTCAACCTGTGACGGTTGGCTGAATGATGTGGGATTATCGTTGCCATACACGTGGCAGACAAATATTGACCAACTCTCAGAAAAATCAGCCTACGGCTATGAGCACGAGGCTCTCCCAGTCTTGTAGAAAGTCGCCCAAGAAAATCTCAAACTCTCGAGGTGCCGCGGCGAGATTCATAGTCATACGACTCAAAATCTAATATCCCTGGTTTACCCCTGTACTCTTCTTTTGTGAGTATCATCGAGAGGTTCTTCATTGACAAAACTACCCTCATGGTTCAAGCCATTTTGTGAGGTGATTGCTGAAGTGGCAATTTAAAGTGGGTTTACCCTCTTTACAGGTGGCAAGTTTGCAACCAATTGCGATCTACCACGTGGAAAAGAAAAATCATATTCTCAGTTCTCACCCTAGAGATCCAATTTAAGTATGGTTGCTACTTGTTATGTGTTTCCTTTATATATGCCATATAAAGTTGAAGCCCCAAACAAGTCCATATTATAGAGAGAGAAGCTCAAATAAGCTTACATTTGATATGATGTGTTTCTTGTGAGCCGACCTTCCACTTGACAAAAGCGGTCCTGTCCGGTGTACTTTTGTCTTATGTTTTTGTTATTTGGTTCATGTCTAGAGACTATTGGGAAAAGATTAATTAAGGGCATGGGCATAGGTCTGATCAAACACTCCCTTTTTAACTCTAATTTTAGTAAATTTAGGGTTCAATGAGTTCCTTTTTTCATGAAAGAAAAGTGGAAAGCTATGCTGCCAAATGATACCAGAAGGGTTTTGATCAATCAAAACCCCCTATTGAATTTTGATAGATCCCACTTGATTGGTTATCATATTTATAATACTGGTTGATTGGTTATAAGTTTTTATGGCATTAAAGTCGGATTAAAAAAAAATTCCCTGTTTTAATACGAATCAATCCATCCATCTATCTGGTTCAAACTGAAATCAGAATCTGAATTAGAACTGGACTGAAATGGATTCTCATTTCCATGGGAAGGGAAGGAAATAGCCATTCCTTCAAATGGGAGAATGTCATAACAACTAGGAATGGGAACCAGATTTCAATTCCACCCAATAAAACAATTGAACCATTCTGATTTCAGACCCATATTCCTACAAAGCAATTGGGCCCTAATATGAGCACCATATCCATCGATATTTCTTATCATATCCAAATTTAAATTTAAATTCAAATATTTAAGCCATTTTCTCTCTCATGATCTTATCTCTAGTTAAATCCTTTATCATGTCATTAACTCTTATCATTCTCTCTCATGCGATTGATTTGTGGAACTCTGCATTGAGAAGTTTGTGAATACAAGGTTCAAAATATTGATACTCTCGATGTCAAATTTGTGTATCAAGAAATAAATTTGTAAACACAAGATTGATACTCTCTCATTAAATTCTTTACATTTAAATCATGTCATTAAATCTTCTCATTCTCTCTCGTATGATTGATTCTAGGAACTTTGCATTGAGAAATTTGTGAATACTAGGTTCAAAGTATTGATAACTTCGATGCACAAAACTTGTGAATACAAGGTTCAAGGTATTGATACTCATTAAATTCTTTCCATTCAAATCATGTCATTAAACCTTCTCATTGAATGATTCAAAGAACTTTGTATTGGGAAATCTGCAAGAGTTTCAATTGATAAAAAAAAATTATTTTTTTTACTTTTTATTTTTTTTAAAACCAATATAATATTCCCCATATCGAATGTATCGTATCAATACTTTGAACCCTGATGAATAGAATACAAATATTATTATTTCTACATCGGGAATCGATGTTTTGAAAACCCAACTAGACTGACTGATTGAACCAGGAAAGGAGTCAAAGGACCCCATCTTGGTTCAGTGATAACCAATGCCTTTGAGGTTAAACCGGCCACCTTGTTAAATTGGGAAAAAGGAACACGAGGAAAGCAGAGAGAAGCTTCTTACATGACATCTACAATATCAAACGCAACTTAGGTAAATGTTTGCTAAAAAATGAGTAGCTTCACATCAAAAAATTAATGAAACAGACATGGACTTTCAATTTTTGGCACAAAGCACAAACTGAATACAAATGCAGCTTCTTCTTCCTCTTTTGTAGTTTGGCAGCGACTGTAGGGAAGTTTCATTGCATAATTTGCTGCCAACATTAAATCAAGAGACTCAACCTTGAATCACATGCTTTCTCTATCACCAAATTTTTCTCTACCCTATGTTCAGCGGTACTTAGGACATTTAACATATAAATATGGGAGATATTTTCGATGTACTAACATTTTAAAAATCAATGCAGTTGACCACCAGTTTTCAGGTTAGCGGTTCAGCTGTCTGATCTGAATGAATGATTTCTTACAACTTTAAAAATAAATCAAAATAAAAACAGCAAAAACCATTGTCTGGGTCAAATAGGTCGATAATTTGATTGCCTGCGTCAGTAGATTGCCATCCAAATCAATAGTTTTTTGGCAAAGGAATGGGTCAAGTGTGAAATGAAATCGATTGCTTAGACAGTTTTCAGGCCAAACGATCTGATCAATTAGGTCAATGAGGGTTCGAAAACCATGCAATATATAGATGGATGTCGTGCTCTCCGGATATTTGTACCATTTTTGCTTCCAGAGATTCAATCCCCGCTTAGAGGCTCTTTGTTGATGTGAAAAGGGTAGTTTGGTCAATTGAAGAAAGCGTTGCCGAACTGTGAACCGAGAAGAAAGTCAGAAGAAAGAATTCTTGAGGGGTAATACGGTAATTATACAAATAGAGATTATTTGCCGCGTAATTATTCGAATCTACCCATTAAGCAAGAATCTCTGAATACTATATATATTCTACCACAGGTCACCGAACTCCACGCAACTCAACTCGTCAAATTACGGAGAGGAAGCCGTTTCCAACTTTCTCTCCCAGGCAGAGAAAAGCTGAATCTCTCGGATTCCTCGACGACAATGAAGAAATCAGGAGTTTTGATGGCTTCCATGGCTGCAGCTTCTGCTACCGCAATCTCTGCTTCGTCCACTCCTTCCTCCTCTGATTTCTATGCCAATTCGAAGATCCAACCTTCTCGGGAGGTAAATTAAGTATCCTTTGAAAATCTTCTCCTCTGCTGATCATATTATGCAGCTCTTTGTTGAATTTACCAGAAAGTCCTTTTGTTTTTGCTTGTGGTTCTATTTTCATTTAATTGCTTGTGCGAATTCATTATTTTTTTTTTTACCCGAAGTACAGATTTTCTTCCGAGTCTCTGAGCTTATGTTTCTTCAGATTTTCCTGTTATTTTTCCCCTGTAAAAGACACAGTAATCCACTATCTTTCTGTTTCTTTCTCCCAAGCTTTGTTTTTCATTTTCTTTTTCTGAATGAATTTGTTTCCGAAGAATCCCTATCTATATTTAATTTGGGAAGGTTTACTTATCGTTCTTGCATTAATTTCAAGTTAATGCAGATCATCTTCTCTTAAGCAGTTAAGCTTACATAATCTCTTATACTTCGGTTTCTTTTTTTCTTATCAGGACTCTGTATCAAGCAACGGTCGAGACAATTCCTCTTCACGGAGACAGCCTCCGGCGGACAAATTTGCGCCGAGGTTTGACGGGTTGAGATTCATTGAAACACTGGTCACAGCTCACCGATGAACAACACCCACATAAGGACGATCATCTCATAATTTCAGTGTTTTTACAGGAAAATATGTGTGATCAATTCCTTTCTTTTGTTTTTCTCCCTTTTTAACAATTTTAGGAGGATAATTCTTACTTAGGAGATAGAGATGATGATGATGATGATGATGATGATGATGATGATGATGATGAAAAATAGGGTGAAGGTGGGATCGAATTGCATGAGAATAATTGCTGAATTGTAACATAAAAATTTATTCTGTAGTTCTACAGTTAATGGAATGATTTGAATCTTTGATCTCTCCAAATTCTCAGACATGGATACTGATGATCTCTCCAAATCCCCCCTTCTTGTTAAGTGGTTGTATCATAGTTGTTGGGTGGCTTTCATTTGCAGCACCGACATCCCCTGCACCTAACTATCAATGCCTAACCGTGATTCCGTGAAAGTGCTTGATCTGGCCCGACCCACCGACCTCCCCTGTTTCATTGTTCTGGTTAATCCTTAATTGGTTCAGATTGGGACTACATCCAACCCTACCTGAGTTAGAAAGTTAAAACCGGTTCAGTTGGTAAGAAAACGAGAACTCTGCCGAAGATTATTGCAGCCATACATGAAGAACATCTCATCCTCTACATAGTATTATGCAGGGGGAGATATTCCCAATTCACAAAGGGGTAGTGTATTGTGGGTAGGCGTGAGCAGGATATCTGAAATCAATTTGAGTCTGGATCTCTTACCCACAAGAACTCTGCCCAAATTTATCAGTCATACATGAAAAACATCTCATCGTCTGCTTAATATTGTGCAGGGGAGATGTTCCCAATTCACGGGAGTAGTGTATTGTGGGTTGGCATAAGCAGAATTTCTGTGAACAGAATAGCCAAAGTCTAAATATTTAGGGGATGACGAAATAAATTCATCAAGTCTAGCCACCCCCAAATAATTGGGATAGGCCTTTGGTGTGGCCTAGTCTAGCTTGTCAGGAATGTTCTGTTACGGAAAATTGACCTCTTCCTGATCTTTTGAAGAGCTGAAGCTGATTTGGTGCCCATCTGTCTACCCAAAGCAATTGCCAATTTTGTAAACTCATGGAATTAGAGGGGAATTTCACCTAATGCAAGATCATCTCTTACCATAGTTATATCCAAGAATTACTACTGTAAAGATAATGGAAGCAGACAACACAATTTTGGGGTGTTTGATTCCATTGTTGTTTATTTAAAAAATGGTATAAGCTCAATGTTAAATAGGTGTTTCTCCTGCGCTATTTAATTGAATTGGTTATTAAATAAGCCTTAATTATATCTATGGTGATTAATTGTTAAAATGCATCAATAAACATTTTTCAAAAGTTTTTCTTTTTTAATAAAATACAAAATAATTATTAAATAAACGACAATAAAATCAAACAGCCCCTTATGAAATAGGTATTCTTTATTTTCGAGAAACCAGGGATGGAAAAGCTGACACGTGGTCCATTTTGGCTGCTATACTAATTCCCACGGACGAAAATCATGTACAAAGAAAAATATTGGACTATTTTAATCTAAAGAGGAAAGGTTGGACTCAAAGATTAGTCTTGAATAAATCATTTTAAATTGGAGATTAGACTCACTTTGGTAGAATGCATTTTAAAAACCCTATTATTCTATCTTATTAGAGAAACTTCAGAGCTTTTCTCACAAGTTCTAATTTCTAATATTTTAATACAAAGCATGCCTATACTTGTAGCTATCTCCATTCTCAGAACAAAAGATTGAAAAAAAGCTAACAATTTATATATTATTAGTAGAGGGAGCTCAGGTGATGGATGCTGATCAGTTAACTTGTATAACAAATTATCATTAAAATCAATGAAGCTTCTGAAACTTGGCTTTTGATCTATTGTTTAATAAGAAACCTAAGCAGCTGGGCCTATAAATGTGGTTTCTCCTAATCACTTTGACAAGTGGTTTATGGGTCAGTGGTTCAATTATTTAGTTCGAACGGATGGTTTATTATAATTTTAAAAATAAAAATATTAAAAATTATTGTTTGGATCGGACCAATAATTTGACTGTTCAGGTCATTGTTCAAATCAAATAGATCAATTGTTTGAATGATTTTTAAGCCAAATAATCCAACCATCCAAATCAACAACGGTTTAAGAAATCATAATAATTTGGCTTTGAGTTGAAGACGCCTTTGAAACTTCAGTTGCCACTAACCATTTGAAAACACTGCAATGGAGATGGGCCACGGGTGACCTTTGTTTTACATGTGACGAAAGGTAATTGTGGGGGCATGCCACCGAAAGGGCTATGGACTGCTTCAAACTTCGAAGGTGAATTCAAATATTTAAGTAGCAATTTTTGGTGGTGGGTCATCTTGAATTCTTTCATTACTCGAATCTTCCATTTTCAGTGACGTGGAGGGATGATAAAGCCAATCCCAAGTCCACAAAGAACCCCTCAGACATGCTATCAATGTTGCACCACTCAATATGACTTTTGCTTAGATTAGCATTGAAACAGTGGAAATCAATAAACCCTCGTTAATTAGGTCCGTCTTCTATGTATCTTTCTTGCCTATCAAGACTTCAATGAGTTGAGATATGGGCTTAGGGTTGAGCACTATGGCTTGTCCTGTTTGACTCACTGACATCTACCAGTTTGATTGGCTCGTCAGTCAGTACAATTAGATTATTACTATCAGGGTGTTTTGGTTTTCATATAGATACACCACTTCAGCAGTTCCCCTTTTTTGTTCTTTCACATGCATTGAAAATGGTAAAGTGGACTTTGGTTTTTGTGCACATCTACCATTTGGAGAAGTTATTTTTTAAAACTTCCATAAATAAGGAAAAACTTTAGTTGTTGGAGGCCAACAGCGCTGTTGACCTCAATTTATATCTCAATTTATTTTGATCAAATACCAAAACATGGGTATGAATAGGTGAACTGCTCAGAACATGCCCAGCCTAGAAATTGTCTCAACAGCCTATGTTGTTGAGCCCCAACAGCCAAGGTTAACCCCACAAATGATTAGACGTTTTTTCAGTATTACGCTGATATGATGTCTAGTTGTCATAAACGATTATAATTATTATTTATCTCCATTTTAAAAACAAATAAAATACAAAAATTGAATGAAAAAACGTAAACGAAACTAGACACATACTATGTGTAATCAGAATGAATTTTGTGTGAACTATTTAGAAGGCACCGAGTAATGGTTTAGTTGGTACGTTAGCTGGACCAGTGGAGATGCGAATCCCGCTAACGATTTTTATCGACTTTGAAGAGTTATTAGTGTGCTAATTGCTGATCTATTGTGCTCTGCCCAAAAAAAAAAAAAGAACGAATTATGACCGCTGTGGGGGTTTCAGGCATTTGTATTGCAGTGTTGTGCTGCATTTAATGTAAGCATTGGAAATGGAAAAAAAAAAATGATTTGAACATATAATACAATGTTACAATTGTTTATTGCTATTTAATACACATAAATATTAAGATACGCCATTAGGCATTACATAAGATATCCAAACAAAATATCTCTTTAAACAGGAAGCATCCAAATGATATTTAAGGCATCACATAAGATATCCAAAAAAATATCTCTTTAAACAGGAAGCATCCAAAAAGTGATTTTCATGTAAACCAAAATAAAGAAGAATACAAACCAAATGTACTTGAATCCAAAGAGAATTTTGATTTGATAAAGTAAAAAATGCCTATGTATATACTTAATAATTGCATGCCAATAAAACAGCTCTACAGCACTACCATAGTTATTAGGGTCAAGAGGGCCGATGCACCAATCTACGCTAAGCCTTTAAAACTTTGGCCATAGATACACTGTTGAGTAGTTTGATTTTTTAACTGACTTTTGTACTCGTGAATAAGAGAAAGATGTGAAGAAAATGCGAGTTTGACATTAAAGGAAGTGACGACATGGCATGCATCATAAGCTTAATAGAATGGCCCATCATCGAGAAATTGCCCCAACTGGATTTTTTGGCCCTAGAGGATTGCTTTTTGAATTTGTGTATTATTAGAATCATTGAAGCTTATATCTAAGTCGTAACTTTAAAAAAATAATAATAGGTTTGATTTAATAAGAAGTAATACATATATAAATAAATTTAGCCGTATTTCTAATGGTTCATGATAACTAAAATGCCCGTTTAGTACATATTTAGACGTGTTTCAGATGGTCCATAAGTTGTCTTTTTTTTTTTATCATGAATGGAAGGATAAATCATTTTGGGGTTCTTATTTTTTAACAAGAATATGAAATAAAATATATGGATTGGGGATTAAAATAATGACCATATATTATTATGTATAAGGGGCTGTCTGGAACAGCCCTAGATATAGAAGTATTGGGTTTTATTCAAATCTTACTTTGGATGGGTAGCCCTAGTGAATTTTGCTTCTGCAACCCAAATGCAGTCCTAGTGAATATACTGAGGAACGTGGAAGGCAACAGGAATAAGAATTGTCCTTTGTTTAAGATGAGCAATAAATGATGCCGGCTCATCTGAAATAGGTCAAACCCCTAAAAATCCCACTGATATGTGATGAAATTTTGAATCTTATACTGACTTGACTTTCAGTGTGATTGTCTGTTGTTCTTAATCAACTAATAGACATAATTTGCCTAAATGGTGCTGGGTGTATACAACTTGGAAAGATGGTTTATCATACTCCAATATTGTTGGGATTGAATGGACATGTCAAATCAACTTTTCCATGAAAGGTCTCCAACCAAAATCAAATATCAGATCTAATTTAGCTGGAGTCCTAAAGCATTCTGCCTTTAACATGGTTGAAACCTATTTCAATCTCTTGCTCTAATTAAAATCAACATGAAGGCAACAGACAAGCTAATTGAGAACAAGAACATGGATTGAAATGGTAGAGAAGGCATGAAGAGAAAGCTCTTTTTTTTTTCCAATTTAATGGATGCTTCAATTACTATCTTACTTTTGAATTGTAAAGGTAAGGAATGTTGTGTGGGGTTTCTTTTGTTATAATGAGCAACAATTGTGATGTTTAGAAATGGTGTTGATATAATTGCAATATATGGCTAAAGAACTAAAGATAAATTCATGAAAGAAATGTTTACAATACTTTGCTTTTGAATACCCAAGATTGTTATATCTAACCCTAATATACAAACCATATTTATCTTATAGCAATGCTAGATATATTTTCAATATTTATCTAATTTCTTATAAAAGAAATGTTCATAATACAAAATGATTTTTTTTGAATACCCAAAATTTTATAATCTAACCCTGATATACCAACGATAT